GTTGTTTTGAGGTATTTCAAACAATTATTGACAGCTAAATCAAGCATACTGTATGTCTCGCTCATTAGTTCTGACTCCTTTTCTCAAAAACTAACTGATGTTATTTATTGATTAATTTTGCAATTCTAAGCATTTTTAATCCAAACTATACATTGTCAGGCTTTTCAACATCACCAGTTTGCTGGGTGGACAATTTGCTAGTAAGAAGAGGTCAGCCTGTTGTGGGACATAACATGGCTACTTTAACATCACATGAATGTTTTTTTTTTTTTTTAAAGCCTTTAGTTTAAGCCAACATTTGATTCTGATGCCAGGAAACATTTTAACTTTTGTTCCCTGCCACTAACTCTTATAGTTGTGACAACACATAATCCATTAAAAAGGGCTCTCAGTTGGTTACTTTTTCCCATCTAATAAAAACTAGTACATTGTAGGTCAGTAACAAAATTATTTTGATTAGCTGTTAAATCCTGACACTCATTTAGTTTCCATTTAATTTGCCTTACCAGAACCATATCTCCTACTGGTGCCCAGTTCATAAAAAGTAACACTTCACCAAAGAATATAAGAGCCTGCAGTTAAATTGAGAAGTGCCAACATTAATTCACATTCAATTAAGTCTCTTGAGCCATGCACTTAAAGGAGGTTATTATTGAACACTCTTAATAAGTAACAAAATACATTAAGTTCTGTTACTCAATTTTGACTGGCTAAAGCATTCAATTATTAACTGCATTCAATTTTCTAAGCCAACATAAATGGAATCTAAGTCAAACTGACAGCTGTTGAATCAATACTTACATATGTGACTTTGATGTTTATAGATGCTAACACAAGACTGCCATAGAGAAAAGGTGCAGAACCAAGCAATGCAACAGCACACACAAGAGCATCAGCTTTTCTGTTTCGCACTCTGCATCTCCAAGCTATCTCGGCACCCAGCCACACACCCACTATTCCAGCTGCACAAGTGATTCCGCCAACCTTGAGACTTATGCTTGAATTTTAAAGGAAAAAAAAACAATTTTCCCTTTCAGTACAATGGTCATCGTTCATGCTAACTTCATCTGGATGGCAATCTAGATGAGAGTGGGAGGGGGGATGGGGGTTGAGATTATTAGTGGGGGTACGGCACTCGAGGAAAACAGAAACAAGGAATCAACAGTTTTGCTTTAACTATTTCTCAGTAGTTATTATTTTCTTTGTTTAATAATCATGTCATAATGTTAATATGACCAGACCTATGTGACCAGATAATGGGTGCACAGAACATTAATGGTCAAGAGGGCAAATATTCTTTAGAACATGCCAAACATTTACCTGTCTATTAATCTAGCACCACCACCACCCCCCCCCTGAATAAAAAAGACCTACAGCAGTTAATTTTATAATGTTATTAATGACAAATGAAATGCAGCTGACGTCCCACAAGATAGTTCACAAATCTAGCCATGCATTTTTAAGAGTACATTAGTGCAAACTCATGAGACAAATCACTATAAATTAACAATCATGATGGAAATTTGAGAAGAAGCGAAATTTAGGAAACAGGAGCAAGTGTGTTCTACATTCATTGAGTTTCTTCAAATTTTCTGGCAAGTGCTTTATAGCAGTATAATACATTTAAAACTTGGCTTCTTTATATGCTTCATGATACAGATTTACTGTGCATAAAGCAATAAAACATGCTTTTGTATGTCCTATACTCTGAAAAAGTAGAGCTTTTAAGTTAGGTAAAGCTTGTGAAGAATCCAAGCAGTTACTATAGTTTGTCTTATGTGATTGTCCGGGTGAGGTTAATTCTGAAAGGGACTGTTGTTGGTAACTTTTGTTTCAACAACCTGAGCTGAAGTCATCTTCAGAGTTAAATGAATAGTGTTAGTCAGTAGATGGTGTTAGAAGTCTGGTCCGTTGAAAGTGATTGTTCATTTTAGCCGTGATGATATTGGCGGAGAGACTAGTGTTAAGTTTGTCAGCAGTCATTGTCAGTTCTAGTAAGTTTCAATCTGGTGTAGTCTGACAGGAACTATGATAATTTTTGTTGTTACACAGCAAGAGAAGGAACAGGTTTGAGAAAAAGGGTTTCAAATAATTACATGAATTCAAACTATATAATAGAAAGTATATTGTACTGCTCACTCTGATTCAGTTGCATTACTAAGTCCTTGAGCTTTGCTTGCATAGAGTAAGAATTTTGGTGCCCAAAATGCCAGGGCACCTGTCACAAACGACACACAAGTAAAACCCAGATCAAGCCAAATAAAGCTCTTCCTGTTAAAATAAAACAGAACAAATATAAAGAATTTCTACACATTGTTTTTCCAGGAAAAATAACAACACAAGAATGCTTATTTTCCATAGGCTGAGAAACAAGACAGGTGGACAATAGCTTGAGAATGATTTTATTATGTGGTACTGGTAATAAGTAATAATAATAATCAATCTTTATTTGTACTCATTCTTGCTAAAGAAAAAATTACAATTTCAATGAAAATATTAAAA